AAGGTAACGCAAACTAATTTGCCAATCACATTCTCTCTATCATCTTACGTTTTACTCTACAGGACCATGTTGCTTAATGATGGGGCTCCAATCTGAGACATTTGTTGGTTGTTGATTTCCTCATTGCACGAATATCATAGATTGGATGTTCGTACTACATGAACCCAGATGGGATAGCCTACTATACTGTGAGGCTGTGTGTGTGTGTGTGTGTGTGTGTGTGTGTAGTTCAGCTAATTCTCCTAGGGCCCTGATGCACAAAACACCGCAAGATTTCGTTAAGCATAAGGGAATTTACACAATCAAGAGATCCAGTAAATCAAAGGTATGTAAGGCTCCTGCCAGAATAATAAGTAAGGTTTTACAGTAAGGTTTTTAATTTTTAAAATATTTATTTTAATTTAAAAGACAGATTTACAGAGAAAAGGAGAGAGAGGGACACAGAGAGATTTTCCATTCCCTGGTTTACTCCCCAAATGGCCCCAATGGCCAGAGCAAAACCAGTCTGAAAAACCAGGATCCAGAAGCTTCTTCCAGGTTTCGCAGGTACAGGGCCCCAAGGCCTTGCGCTGTCTTTTGCTGCTTTCCCAGTCAGGGAGCTAGATCAGAAGTGGGGCAGCTGGGATCTGAACCAGCACTCACATGGGATGGCAGCACTACAGATAGAGGCTTTAGTACTATATCAGGTACTAAATTATGGCTAGCCCCATAATTTTTAGCTTTTAAAACATGCTTGTTTGGGCCCAGAACAACAGCCTAGTGGCTAAATACTTGCCTTGTATCCCAGGATCCCATATGGGTGCTGGTTCAAGTCCTGGCTGCTCCACTTCCCATCCAGCTCCCTGCTTGTGGCCTGGGAAAGCAGTGGAGGACACGGCCCAAAGCCTTGGGACCCTGCACCCGCATGGGAGAGTGCAAGAAGCTCCTGGCTTTGGATCAGAAGATCTTTTCTCTGTATCTCCTCTCTGCTCTGTATATCTTGCCTTTCCAATTAAAAATATTTTATGAAAAACATGTTTATTTAATAACTTTTATTTCTTGAAAGCATAATTTTAAGAGAGATCATCCATTCACTGCTCAACTGCTCAAATTCCTCACAACAACTGAGGCTGGTCCAGCCCAAAGTCAAGAACAAGGAACTCTGTGTGTGCCATGTGGGTGCTTACGCTGTCGTCTGCTGCCTGCCAGAGTACACAGTAGCAGGAAGCTAGATTGGAAGTAGAGGCAGAGACGGGCCTCATCCCTAGGCATTCTGATATGGAATGTAGGCATCCCAAGTGGCAATAATCCCATAATGCCCTCTCCTAAGCTTTTTAGAGTGGAAGCAGTACACTCTGAAATAATATTAGAATGTGGTACAGTAAGTACATAAACCAGTAATGTAGTTGTTTCTATTATCATTACCAACTGTTCTGTACTGCACATCATTGTGGATGTTCTGCACTTACCTAAGGAGCAGCGCAGCAGGTGTGCTCACATCAGCATCCTGCATACCCTTGTGTGGTGTATTGTACTACATCATGATAGTCTTGAGGTCATCACTAGGCAATATCTTTTTTAAAAAAAGATTTATTTTATTTTTATTGCAAAATGAGATATACAGACAGGAGGAGAGACAGAGAGGAAGATCTTCCATCCGATGAATCACTCCCCAAGTGACCCCATCGGCTGGTGCTGCGCTGATCCCAAGCCAGGAACCAGGAATTTCCTCCAGGTCTCCCACACACACACACACACATATACACATATATATGTATTTTTTTTAAATCCTAACCCCCTTACCCCGATACAGGAAAAAAAATAAGGTGGAAACAATGGTCTTACCTACTTTCCTGTAGCCCTTGACCCTTTCTGCCCTCATCAACTATGTAAAGATTATAAAAATAAAATAATTACAAAACAAGATTTATTTTTTATTGGAAAGTCATATTTACAGAAAGGAGGAGAGACAAAGTTTTCAGTCTGCTAGTTCACTCTCCAGGTAGCCACAATGGCCGGAGCTGAACAGATCGGAACTCAGGAGCCCGGAGCCTCTTCCCACGAGAGTACAGGGTCCCATCATGCTTAATTGTGCAAGCATGATGGGTAGTCATTTATCCTCTCCTTTGCCTTCGCTGATCTGGAGCACTCATACTCACTTGGGATTGATCTGCTTAGAGAACTTCACTGTCCTCCCCTGCTCGGGCATGTGACTTGAATATATCCTGATGGCTGGCTTTGGTCAGGTGTGTTGGCACTCTTGTCTGGGTGCTGGGCCCTTGGATGGGGGGCCTTTTTTCCGTAGTGCTGCAAGGGTACCACAAGCCATCTGTCTTCTCACATCCAGAGCTGTGGGACACAGAGGCATGGCCAGTCTGCTTTCTGTTGTCAGCAGCCCATTCTTTGGCTTTGGGAACTGACAAGAATTTTCCCTCGTTCACAGGATTTGGGTATTTGACCAGCATATGAGGAGGGGGAGCAGAGGACTCATGAAAGAGTTGTTTATTCACTAGTCCCACCTGATGAGCTATTTCATCTCAGAAAAGTCCTTCTTCTACCGGTTTCCTGTTTAATCTGGGCATTTTCACCTGATTCCTGTCCTCTCCTTGCATTTCCTGATCTCCTTGGCCAGGCCTCAAGTCTCTTTATCTTCATTCAAATTATCAAACCTTAGTTCTGTCTCTCTTTTTTTTTAATCTCCCTGTTCTTTTTTTGTAAATATTTATTTATTTCACATACACAGAAAGAGAGAGAAAAAGAGAGATAGGGAGAGAAAGTTTTCCATCTGTTGGTTCACTCCCCAAGTGGCCACAATGGCCAGGTCTTAGCCAGGCTAAAGCCAGGACCTTCCTCCAGGTCTCTCACGTGAATGGCATAACCCCGATGACTTGGGCCATCATCCACTGCCTTCCCAGACACATGAGCAGGGAGCTAGACTGGAAATAAAGCACCTGGAACTCGAACGAGCACCCATATAGGTTGCCAGTGCTGCAGGCTATGTAGTTTAATGTGCTACACCACAACACCAGCCATTAATTTGCTCTGCTACTCATATGAACTTCTTTGTGTCACCTGTTAAATATTTTAGAAATTCAGGCTGTTGGGATAGTGGAGAGGAGCCGGGAGGGAGCAGAGGCCTGGTAGGAGGCAGTTGCAGATGAAAGAAGAGGTGCAGATGAAACAAGAGGTAGACTTAGAGTCATTTTTACACACGGGAGCCACAAGGCATAGCAGCGCTTGCCCCAGGGAATGGGGGGATGGCTGGGGCACGGATGGACAGCTCTTAGGTTTCAGGCTTCACCTTTGGGCCGTTCAGGTTTACAGGCATCCATGAGACATCCAGGGAACTTCTGTGGCAAACCAAATATTGCCAAAACTTTGCTCACCCCTCCACTCCGTGTGAGCAAGGAGGAGTGACAGAGGGAGGGAGGGAAGGAGAGGCACACAGAGAAACACGCTCACTTCCCAAATGCCAACAAACATACAGGGTTGGGTCAGGCCAAAGCCAGGGCCCAGGAACTGCACACAGATCTCCCGTGTAGGTGGCAAGGGTCCATGTATTGGGGGCATCCTCTGCTGCTCCCAGGCACATTAGCAGGGAACTGGATTAGAAGCAAAGGAGCTCAAAACTCCAACCAGGACTCCAGTGTGGGATATGACTATCCCAACTGTCGGCTTAACTCACCGCACCACTGTGCCCACCCCGAAATATCAGTTCATTCACTGTGGAGACTGCAGTGAGTATCTTATCCTGACTGTACCTATGTTGTCATAATAAAAGGAGTGATTGGCCCCAGCACAATGGCCTAGTGGCTAAATCCTCACCTTGCAAGCACTAAGGTCCTATACAGGCACCAGTTCATGTCCCAGCTGCTTCACTTCTCATCCAGCTCTCTGCTATGGAGTGAGAAAGCAGCAGAGGATGGCCCAATTCCTTGGGACCTTACACCTACATTGGAAACATGGAGCAGGTTCTTGGCTCCTGGTATCAAATTGGCTCAATTCCAGCTGTTGCAGCATTTTGGAGAGTGAACCAGAGGATGGAAGCTATTTCTCTGTCACTCCTTTTGTCTGTAAATCTGCCTTTCAAATAAAAAGGTGGGGAGGAGGGAGGAGTGATTGTAATAGTAGCACTGAATGGTAGAATTGTGAATACTGGGCCCAGCATGGTAGTCTAGCGGCTAAAGTCCTCGCCTTGCACGAGCTGGGATCCCATATGACCACTGGTTCTAATTCTGGCAGCCCCACTTCCCATCCAGCTCCCTGCTTGTGGCCTGGGAAAGTAGTCAGGGATGGCCCAAAGCCTTGGGACCCTAAACCCACGTGAGAGACCCAGAGAAGGTTCCTGGCTCCTGGCTTCAGATCAGCACAGCTCTGGTTGATGTGGTCACTTGGGGAGTGAATCATCTGGTGGAAGATCTCTCTGTTTCTTCTCCTCTCTGTACAACTGTCTTTCCAATAAAAATAAATAAATCTGGGCCTGGTGTGATGGCCTAGCAGCTAAAGTCCTCGCCTTGAATGCGCCAGGATCCCAGATGGGCACCAGTTCTAATCCCAGCAACTCCACTTCCCATCCAGCTCCCTGCTTGTGGCCTGGGAAAGCAGTCGAGGACAGCCTGAAGCCTTGGGACCCTGCAACCGTGTGGGAGACCCAGAAGAAGTTCCTGGATCCTGGCTTGGGATTAACATAGCATCAACCGTTGCAGTCACTTGGGGAGTGAATCATCGGACGGAAGATCTTCCTCTCTGTCTCTCTTCTCTGTATATCTGCCTTTCCAATAAAAATAAAATAAATCTTTAAAAAAAAATTGGAGGCTACCCAGCCATTTTGTCTGCAAAACATGGACCGCCAAAGAATTGCTCATAGTGTGATTTGGTTACGTGTTTTGGATGACACAAGAAAAGGGGATGATAGTTCTGCATTGCCCTGCAGTGGTCTGGCATCTGTAGAAGGAAAAGAATCAGGTCTTGAGGTCAGGGTCTTGGCCCTGCCCTCACGGTGCTTCCCTCTGTGTACCCAGGTCCATTGCTGGAAGACTGGGACATAATCAGCCCCAAGGATGTCATTGGCTCTGATGTGCTGCTGGCTGAGAAGCGGTCATCGCTGACGACAGCTGCACTGCCCTTCACGCAGTCCATCCTCTCTCAGGTGCTGGCAGTGACCCCAGGGGCCCCACCATGGTTGGAGGGTGGGGCCTAGCTGGCATCTCCTGATTCTGAGCCTCCCACTCGGCCTGTGCCCCTCACCTACCCAGCTGATCCACGTGGGCCACCCTCCTTCCTCCACAGGTAGGCCGTACCTTGTCTAAGGTCCAGCAGGTGCTGAGCTGGTCATATGGGGAAGATGCCAAGCCCTTCAAGCCTCCCTTGAGTGATGCCGAGTTCCACACATACCTCAACCATGAAGGCCAGCTCTCCCGCCCGGAGGAGCTGCGGTTGCGCATCTACCACGGCGGGGTGGAGCCCTCTCTGCGGAAGGTGAGCCTCCTGCATCACTTACTAGCTCCTTTAATCTTGCACTCATCGGCAGCCCTCCAGACACCTGTAGCCCACAAACTGGTGGCTGGGATGGAGATACTCCAGGACAGCAGCGGGGGGTAGGGACGTGTGGGGTGTATGTGTAGGGGGTTTGTAGACAGAAGTCTCACGTGACCCTGGGCAGGGGAGAGAGGAGTTGTAGGTGGATGATGACGGATTGATCTTTGGCCTCATCCCTCTCCTACCTGGCCAGGTGGTATGGAGGTACCTGCTGAATGTATACCCTGACGGGCTGACAGGCCGCGAGCGGATGGACTACATGAAACGCAAGAGCCGAGAGTATGAGCAGCTCAAGAGCGAGTGGGCACAGCGAGCAAGCCCAGAGGACCTGGAGTTCATCCGAAGCACAGTCCTCAAAGACGTGCTGCGCACTGACCGGGCCCACCCCTACTACGCAGGGCCGGAAGACGGGCCACACCTGCGGGCCCTGCACGACCTACTCACCACTTACGCTGTTACCCACCCACAGGTGTCCTACTGTCAGGGAATGAGTGACCTCGCCTCGCCCATTCTCGCCGTCATGGACCATGAGGGACATGCTTTTGTCTGCTTCTGTGGCATTATGAAGCGCCTGGCTGCCAACTTCCACCCCGACGGCCGTGCCATGGCCACCAAGTTTGCCCACCTCAAGCTGCTGCTGCGACACGCTGACCCCGACTTTTACCAGTACCTGCAAGAAGCCGGTGCTGACGACCTGTTCTTCTGTTACCGCTGGCTACTGCTTGAGCTCAAGCGAGAGTTCGCCTTCGATGACGCCCTGCGTATGCTTGAGGTCACTTGGAGCTCCTTGCCTCCTGACCCCCCGGAACATGAGGTGGAGCTCATTGGACCCCCTAGCCAAGCAGCAGAAACTGGCTTCAGTGGCCACAGGGGGCGGCCTATGCGCCAGCGGCACATGCTGAGGCCTGCCGGTGCAGGAGGCGGAGCCTTTGAAGATGCTGTTGACCACTTGGCCAATAGCAGTAGCCAAGGGCCTGGCGGTGGGGGCCGCCTCCTGCGGCAAGCTAGCCTGGATGGCCTACAGCAACTCAGGGATAACATGGGCCCCCGGAGGGACCCTCGTGTCCAGCTGCCCCACCCAGCCACCCTTCTCAGCACCAAGTCCCTCTCCGAGCCCTTGCTGAACTCCCCAGACCCACTGCTCTCCTCCTCTTCCCATCCCGATTCCCCATCTTCCTCTTCTCCACCCTCCACCCAGGAGGCCTCTCCCACCAGCGACTTGGCCATAGGATCCCCTTTCATGGCAGAGGCAGGCTCTCCACAAGACCCTGGGAAGCCCCTGCCTCCCCCACCCCCACCCCCAGCAGGCCTGCCCCCACCCCAGGAATTTGGCCGAGGGAACCCCTTCATGCTCTTCCTCTGCCTGGCCATCCTGCTGGAGCATCGCGACCACATCATGCGCAATGGGCTGGATTACAACGAGCTGGCCATGCACTTTGATCGCCTCGTGCGAAAACACCACTTGGGGCGTGTGCTGCGCCGGGCCAAGGCACTGTTCGCCGATTACCTGCAGTCAGAGGTGTGGGACTCGGAGGAGGGGGCTGAGGCTACAGCCCCGTCTTGACCAGGCAGCCCATCAACCCTGCCAGTTCTTTCTTTGCCCGGAGGGCCTTCACATGAGGCCCTCCTCCCCACCCCACCCCCAACCTCCCTGCCTGCCACTCCTTGACCTGTTGGAGAGTTGGGCCTGAGTGTACTGGGCTCTGCTTCGGCATTGCCTCCCCCTCAGTTTCCCCAGCAATCCCCAGAGGCTACAGCCTCTTCTGTTTCCATGCGCGGTTTTATTTTTAACTACACTTTGCACACACGAAGGTCATGGTAGTCTGTGTATTTCTCTCCCCGAAGTCTTCACTAGGCAGGAGGCTGCAGGGATGGTCCTCGAACAGACAGCTGAAATCCTTGCCTTGGTGGAGGGTAGCTCCAACTTCCCCCAGTGGCGAGAGGGGCAGGGGTAGGGGTAGCAGCTGGGAATCTTAGGAGGTGAGCCCAGATGCCAGAGGGCTTGAGGAAAGGCTGAAAGGCTGCCTGCGTTCGGTTTTTGGTTCATCTGTCTGCCTGGGGTGGGGGGCAGGGAGGGGCATGCATTAGGAATGCGGGTTTCCAGGACAGGACCCAGAAGCAGAGAGGAGAGGCAGTTCCTGGCTCCAAAAAAGGGGCAAGGTTATATTACAAAGACTGTAAAGTAATGAGCTGCTAAGAGGAACAGCAGGTGAGCTGGCCCTGGCATTTCACAGTATCAGTTTGGCACCTGACCCTTCTCTGCAAGTCTTAGGCGTGAATCTTAGCAGCCCTGGGACAGGAATCTAAGGCTCCTACTGTGGCATCTGCTTGGGAAGCAAACTGGGGGACTGTACCCTTGCCATGTGATGTAGGGCCCTTAACCAGGCTGCCAACTCACAGCCCCTGCTGTGACCACTGCAGCCTTGACTCCTTATATAAGCATTTATTTGCCTTCTCCATTCCCGTACAAATCAAGTGTCATAAGAATTCTGGCACTAAAAGAAGCCACCTACTCGTTGCTAGACTCATGATCAAAAATGGTCCTTTTTTCCCACTGACATTAGAAGATGGGGCTTTCTCACAGGTCAAGTGGGATCCTCAGTTCATAGCCTCTCACAGTGCCAGGTCCTGGCCAGAAGTTGCTGCATTCAAAGTAGAAGGGGCATCAGGGCAGCCCATGCTGTTTATTTCCCGCCAGCCCTAAGCATGTCATATAAAGCTGGGGGTGACCTTCAAAAGGTTCCCATTGCCACAGTGCTGAAGAGGGAGGAGACCATTGCTCAGCTGAGAGCTCTGTGGCTTGAACAGGACGAGACCACTGTGCATCAAGGGTGTGCAAATGCTGTGCCTCCCCACAAGTGTTCGCTGGATCTAGGGAGCTCAGAGTCCCCTGAGGGCCACTCATGATAGGGGATGTTTGGCGCCCCAGGATCAGAAATTTCCCTTTCTTCATAACCACCTGATGCCCTTGGGCTCCAGGCTATGAGTAATGAGCTCAGCCATTTGAAAGGCCAGACCAGTCATTTCTGTGCATGGCAACTTGGGGGCCTCCAAGGACCAAGGCAAGAAGCCCTTTGTGTGACTCAGACGCTAGGTGCCCTGAAGGGCAGAAAAAAATGTGTTCCTCTAGGGCACTGGAGGCTCTGGCTTCTGCCCAAATCAACAGATGGCATGAGCTGCCGGTTTCTGTGCCTGAAGCCAGCCAAAAGAAATTAGAGACACATGGATTCCAGAACCTGCAGTGTAGTTCGGAGAGGCCCATGTGTGCACAAAGGTAGGACTGTAACGAGATGCATTTTCAGGGCACATGGCTAGAGGCAGCAAATGGGGGTGGAGTGGGATGGAGACCGAATGTTAACTTCTGGCTCTCTGCTCTCCTGTGTTGCCTTGGGGAGGCTCTCGGGTGCTCCCTCCTGGCAGAACTCAACTAGTGCACGAGTACAGGTATCTGGGGAGCTAGCTAGTCCCCGGCAGCCAGAGGCAATCACCTCCGCCCCACACCTCCTGCCGACGCCAGAAGTGGTGCAGCACACTGGGAAAGACTGCCTTTTCAAAAAGCGACCTCCTTCTGAGGGTTGACAAATGAACCCCAACCAGGGGGAATCCCGGGTGTGAGCAGGCAGGAGTGAGGTTTGCACATCGCCAGGAACTGGGACTATCCAGCATTCTGGTTTATCTCCACACACTGCCCTTTACCCCAGAGCAGGTAAGAGCAGGGCCTCCAGCCCTTCATCAGATTGCACAAATTGACAACTTAGATATGACAACAGTTCATCGCAATAAGGAAATGAACCCCATATGGTAGTTATCTCTTGCTGTGCAACAAATTACCTATAGGACTGGTGTTCAGCATAGCAGTTACAAACACAAATTGAGCTACCTGCATCCCGTATCACACACAAGGCCTGGGTTTGAGTCTACCTCTGCTTGTTATCCCAGCTTGTTGGCTGCCCAAGCCAAGTCCAGTCCTCAGGCTCACAGGGAACTTGGACCATAAGTTCATGATTGGGGAGGAAGCAGAATCCCGCAAGCTGATGCACACCCTGGAAGGCAGCAGACGATGGCCCAAGAACTTGAGTCCCCTTCTCTATTGCTCCTTCTCTATAAATATGCCTTTCAAATAAAAACAAATAAATATTAACAAAAGAACGGAACTTGAACCCCTGCCACCCGCATGGGAGACCCAGATTGAGTTCCAGGCTCCTGGCTTCAGCCTGGCCCAGCCCAGGCCATTGCAGGCATTTGATGAGTGAACAAGAGGATAGCAGAGTCTCTATCTATCTATCTATTTATAGATACATACACACATATATGACTTTCAACTGAAAAAAATGAAAATAAAATTTTTAAAAGACTTTTTTACTTGAAAGAGAGAATGGAGGAAAGAGATTTTGTATCCCCTAGTTCACTGCCCAAATGGCTGCAACAGCCAGGGCTGGGCCAGGCTATGAAGGACAAGTCCATCTGGGTCTCCCATATTGGTGCAAGTGTCCAAGTACTTGGTCCATCCTCTGCTGCTTTTCCAGGCACATTAGCAGGAAGCTGGATTGGAAGTTGTTCAGCCAAACTTGAACCAGCAGCCATATGGGATATTGACATTGCAGGCAGTGGCTTCACCCACTACATCATAGTGCCAGCCCCAACACTTTTTAAAATAGATTTATTTAACTTTTATCAGACCAGCAGCCCTGCTTCCCATCCAGCTCCCTGCTTGTGGCCTGGGAAAGCAGTCAAAGAAGGCCTAAATCCTTGGGACTCTGCACCCACGTGGGAGACCCAGAAGAGGCTCTGGCTCCTGGCTTGAGATCAGCGCAGTCCCAGCCATTATGGCTGCTTGGGGAGTGAATCATCGGATGGAAGATCTTCCTCTCTACCTCCCTTCCTCTCTGTAAATCTGGCTTTGTAATAAAAAAAAAAAAAGATTTATTTATTTTTATTAGAAAGTCAGATATACAGAGAGGAGGAGAGACAGAGAGGAAGATCTTCCATCTGTTGATTCACTCCCCAAGAGAGCTCAACGGCCAGTGCTGCGCCGATCCGAAGCCAGGTGCCAGGAGCTTCTTCCAGGTCTCCCACACGGGTGCAGGGTCCCAAGGCTTTGGGCCATCCTTGACTGCCTTCCCAGGCCACAAGCAGGGAGCTAGATGGGAAGTGGAGCTGCCGGGATTAGAACTGGCGTCCATATGGGATCCCGGGGCATTCAAGGCGAGGACTTTAGCTACTAGGCTATGCCGCCAGGCCCTAAAAATAAATAAATCTTAAAAAAAAAAAAGAAATAGTTGAAGCTAAATAACAATATGGGGCTGGTGTCTTACTGCAACAGGTTGAGACACCAACATATTGGAGCACTGGTTTGAATTCTGGATATTCCACTTACAGTCCAGTTTCCTGATCATTTGCCTGGGAAGATAGTAAAAGATGGTCCAAGTGCTTGGGTCCCTGCCACCCAATGGGAGAGAAACCTGGATGAAGTTCCTGACTCCTGGCTTTGGCTTGGCTCAGTCCCAGCCCCAGCTGGGGCATGAATCAGCAGGTGATCTCTCTGTGTGTAACCCTGCCTTTCAAATAAATAAAACTCAATCATTAAAAAAATAGGGGATGCAAAAAATAATAAAAATGCTACATGTCAAATTCATGGGACACAGTAATATTAACTGTTAAAAAATGTTCAATTCTAAATACATCTATCACAAATGAAAATCATAGATAATGTTCCTATAAGCATGCCTTTAGCTAGAAATTATTTTGAATTTTTTTTTCAGTTGGAAAGATGTTTTATTCATGAAGTGACCGAGTGACCGTGGGAAGAGGAAACGGGGAAGCACCTCCCACGGGAGGGTTGCGAGATGGAGGACCCCTTGAAAGGAGACAGGGAGAGAAATACGAATATTTGCAACATAAGGTAATGTTAAGTATTTAAGGAGAGAGATACGCTTGCCCTGGTTAGAGATTACACAATATAAACATACCTCAAAACAGCGCATCAAGCGAGAGGAGGGTGATGCTGCCATGCACTCTGTCACCTCCTACCTGTTGGTCGTCCTGGGGGAGGAGGACAATGCCTCGCCCAATGAGTGCCAAGGACATCAGGAAGGTGCTGGACAGCGTGGGCATCAAGGCAGACGGCGAGCAGCTCAAAAAGGTTAGCTGTGGGGCCCGGTGCGGTGGCGCAAGTGGTTAAAGGTCCTCGCCTTGCACGCCCGGGATCCCATATGGGCGCCGGTTCTAATCCTGGCAGCCCCGCTTCCCTTCCAGCTCCCTGCCTGTGGCCTGGGAAAGCAGTCGAGGACGGCCCAAAGCTTTGGGAACCTGCACCCGCGTGGGAGACCCGGAAGAGGCTCCTGGCTTGGGATCGGCATAGTATCGGCCCGTTGCAGTCACTTGGGGAGTGAATCATCAGACGGAAGATCTTCCTCTCTGTCTCTCCTCTCTGTATATCCGCCTTTCCAATAAAAAAATAATAAAAAATAAATCTTTAAAAAAAAAAAAAAAGGTTAGCTGTGAGCTCAACAGCAAGAACACCAGGGACATGATCGCCCAGGGCATTGGCAAGCTGGCCAGTGTGCCTGCAGCCGGGGCTGTGGCCTTGTCTGCTGCCAGGCTTGACTGCCGCGGCCACCAGGTCGGCCCCTGCAGCAGTGGAACAGAAGAAAGAAAAGTCATTAGAGTCAGCCCACGACATGGGGTTCGGCTTATTTGACTAGATCCTGTGCCCCCCACCCCCAATTAAACCTTTTACGTTAAAAAAAAATCACACCATGGGTGAATGCTTAGCCTAACAGCTAAAAAGCCATGCCCCACGTTGCGTACCTGGACCTCAGTTTCTGACTCCAAGTTCCTAATAATGCAGACCCTGGGAGGCAGCAGAAATGGCTAAAGTGATTGGCTTCTGATTTTGACCTTGGTCAAGGCTTAGGCATCATGAGCATTCAGAAAATGAACCAGTAGATGGGAACACCCTCAACCCTCAAAAAAAAAAAAAAAAAAAGAAGGAAATCATGGGCACCCAAAATTACCTACAATTTTTATGTATCTATTTATTTTTTTAAAGATTTATTTTATTTTTATTGGAAAGTCAAATATACAGAGAGGAAAAGAGACAGGGAATATCCTCCATCTGCTGACTCACTCCCCAAGTGAGCGCAACGGCTGGAGCTGAGCCGAACCGGAACCAGGAGCCAGGAACCTCTTCCAGGACTCCCAAACAGGTGCAGGGTCCCAAGCCTTTGGGCCATCCTTGATTGTTTTCCCAGGCCACAGGCAGGGAGCTGGATGAGAAGTGGGACTGCTGGGATTAGAATAGGTACCCATATGGGATCCCATCACGTGCAAGGCGAAGACTTTAGCTGCTAGGCTATCGTGCCAGGTTCTATGTATCAATTTAAAAGCAGCCAAAAAAGACGACATCCTGGCTAAGATACTATCTGGTTGCCAGTGTTGTGGTATAGTAGGCAAAGCCATCACCTGTGGAACCAGCATCCCTTATGAGCACCAGTTCAAGCCTCTGCTGTTCCACTTCCCAACCAGCTCCCTGATAATGTGCCTGGGAAAGCAGTAAATGATAGATCAAGTCCTTGGATCCCTGCACCCATGTGGGGAGACCTGGAAGAAACTCCTGGATCTTGGCTTTGAACCAGCCCACCTGTAGTCTTTTACAGGCATTTGGGGGAATAAACCAGCAAATGGAAGCCCTCTCCTTCTCTGTCTCTGTACCTTTCAAATAAATAAATCTGTTTTTTTTTTTTTAAGTTGCTTAAAAAATGCTGCCTGGAATACCACATACCCACACCCCACACTGCAGTGCGTAGGATTGAATCCTGGCTCCACTAATGATTCCAGATTTTTGCCAAAGCATGTCCTGAGCTGCAGCAGTTGCTGGATCAAATACTTAAGTCTCTGCCACCCATATACACTGAATTCCAGACGCCTGACTTGAGCCTGTCCAACCTCAGCTGCCGTGGACATTTGGAGAACAATGCAGCACATGAGAGATCTCCCTGTCTGTCTCCCTACCTTCCCAAATAAATACATTTTCTAAAATTAAGACTTGTTTTTAAACTTGTTTTAAAAGAACAGAAGAAAACAAACTGAGAATGTGGAGTCATGGAGGAAATAGTGTAAGTGTGGAAGGAAATGTTAGAGAACGAAAGGTAATAAAGCAGCTGGTTCCTGGAGGGGCTAGTGTTGTAACCCAGTGGTTAAGCCACTGCTTCCAAGGCCAGCATCCCATATCAGATTGCTAATTTCCATTTACAGTCCAGCTCCCTATGAATGCACCTTGGAAGGCAGTAAAAGATAGCTTGAGTGCGTGGGCCCTGCTATCCACATAGGTGACTCAGAGCTGAGTTCCTGGCTCTGCGCTTTGGCCTGGCCCAGCACTGGCTGTTGTGAGCAATGGCGGCATGAAGCAGCAGATGGAAGGGTTCTGTCTACATCTGTTTCTACCTTTCTCTGTGTCACTCCACATTTCAAAGAAACAAAATATTTTTTAAAAGCTGGTTCATGGAAAATATTAAAAACAGACCTTTGCCAAGACTCATTGAGAAGGATGCAAACTACAGAACCAAAATAAATTTTAAAAATAGATGAATAGGGAAATTGCAGACACAAAAGTAGAGGAAAAAGTTCAACTTTCTAGAAAAGAGACTGCATTTAAACTGATGCAGAAACAAATGCAAAACATCAATATAACTAATTTTTAAGACAAAAATGACGGTCAAACATGCACCCTCTAGCAACAACAAGCTTCAGGCACATGGCTGAGTATTTGTCCTAGCCGTTAAGCCATTAGTTTAGGGCACCTGTTTGCCCACACCAGCATGTCTGGGTTTTATTCCCTGCTCTGGCTCCTCACTCCAGCTTCCTGCTCATGGAGACCCTGGGAGACAGCAGGAATGGTCCAAGTGTTTAGAGCCGTGCCACCCACGAGGGCGACCTGGATGGAGTTCCCAGCTACCCAGCTGGAGTACAGCAGCCATTTGTGGCATAAGCCAGCAGATGGGACTTCTTTATCTCCTGTCTCTCCTGGATTTTCTGTCTGCCTGTTGAAAAGAACAAAGGTTCAGGCTCAGACTGATTATTTTTTTTTCATATCATAATTCTATCCAACTTTCAAGAAACTGATAATTACCATCTTATACAAATTGTTCCAAAAAATACAAAAAAATTAACAAAAACTGTCCAACTCATTTATTGGGGCTATTATAGTCTGGATTTTAAAAAAATATTTATTTTATTTTTATTGGAAAGTCAGATATACAGAGAGGAGGAGAGACAGAGAGGAGGAGAGACAGAGAGGAAGATTTTCCGTCTGATGATTCACCCCCCAAGTGACTGTAACAGCCAGTGCTGCGTAGATCCGGAGCCAGGAGCCAGGAACCTCCTCCAGGTCTCCCACACAGGTGCAGGCTCCCAAGGCTTTGGGCCGCCCTCCACTGCTTTCCCAGGGAGCTGGATGGGAAGCGGGACTGCTGGGATTAGAACCAGAGCACATATGGAATTCCGGCTTTCAAAATGAGGACTTCAGCTGCTAGGCCACTGCGCCGGGTGCAATGAAATTTTCCTCAAGAGAAACTCCCTTACTCCATGCAAAAATGTGAATCTTGCTGTTGCCAGAGAAGGCACAGGCTAGACAGAACAACGTGGAGGGCTGCCGCCATGTTGCAGCAAGGTGAGTCCCGGCTGCTCCACTTCAAATCAAGCTCTCTGCAAACATGCCTGGGAAAGCAGTGGAAAATGGTCCAAGGGCCCTACCACCATGGGAGACCTAGATGAACCTCCTGACTCCTGGCTTCAGCCCCCGTTGTTGCAGCCATCTGGGGATGGAAAATCTCAACTCTGCATTTCAGATAAATAAAAATAAAGCTTAAAAAAAGATCGGAGCATCTTGTTTTGCAGAAAACATTTTAGGCGGTTTAATGTGGAGGTGGTTTCAGGGTACAACTAGAGGGTGAGAGCTGAAGTCACAGATAAAAAGGAATGACAGGGTGTAAAGGGTCCCAGCGCTCTCGGCTAAATGTTGGCCACACAGGAGAAAGCCTAAGGGTGAGAAGCAGAAAGTGCGTAAAGGTGCGGTTGAAAGTGGACCAGGGCAAGGAACAGCAGTCCCTTACGGGGTACGAGGTGAACGCGCTAGATGACGGGGTCGGCTGACCTCACAGCACGATGATCAAAGAGACGTGCAGCATCTGGGTCCCGCGGGTAAGGCAGAGGCGTTTTGCTCGCAGGCAGGAGGCTGCCGTTAGGCGGCAGCAAACGCATCAAGGTTAGGTCGACTCTCTCCAACGCGGAGAGTGGATTATTCCCTTAGCTACGCCCTTCCTTCCTCTCCGCCCTTCCTGTGGCCATAGCCAATGAACACGGACGCCGGGGCTCGTTGGAGAGGCGTTCCCATACGTCCGCTCTACGTAGGCTTTATCAAGCGTCTTCCCGCGCTCCAGCTTCCCTGTTTCCTCTGCCTTCCAACGGTTGCCATTTCCCCGGCTCTTTCGTCTTTTTTTACATTTCCAGGTAAGCAAAGTCCAGGTGCTGTGCAGCGGGTTCCTTGACGTGCCGCGGCAGCCAGCGGGAAGGAACGCGGGTCGGGGAAAGTGACAGTCTGACACGTAGGCTGAGGCTTTTTTTTTTATTTATCGGAATGGGCGGCTTAGTGGTGAAACATAGCTCGGTTGTTGGGAGCCTCGGGAGTTGCATCTGAACGCGGAGAGGGGCTGCCGGCCCCGGTGGCTGCAGGGACTACGCTACCTCCGGGACCTGGTTAACCCCCTCCATCGCCCACGTGACCGCCGCCATCTTGTCCGGGCGCGGGAGAAACGTGAGGAGGTTCTGAGTCTGCGCAGAATGACGGGCGTGGTAGCCGGAGCCGGGGCGGAGACTGAGCTTGCGCAGTTGTGACTTTAAAGGACTTGCCCACCCGATGGATGTCCTTTTTTTTTTCTATGTGTTTTCCGTGTGTGGCTCTGTTCGCACTTGCGTAGCTTTTTTTTTTTTTACCTGCAGGACTTGAACTCGCCGCCATGTCCGAAGAAGGGAAGCTGTTCGTTGGAGGACTTAACTTCAACACCGATGAGCAGGCACTGGAAGACCACTTCAGCAGCTTCGGACCGATTTCTGAGGGTGAGGAGTAGGTGCAGCCTTTGTCAGGGAACACCAGGGGAAGAGGGATTCAGGCTTTCCGACATTCCTTTGCCTTGGTTGTAAAGCTTGGAGTCTCTTTGGGATTCTGTGGGTTCCCCACGGTCCCCTTTGCAAGCCATTGCTTGTTGTCATGGCTACCCCCGCCTCTTGCCCTCCGCAGTGGTCGTTGTCAAGGACCGGGAGACTCAGCGTTCCCGGGGTTTTGGCTTCATCACCTTCACTAACCCGGAACATGCTTCAGATGCCATGAGAGCCATGAATGGCGAGGTGAGGTCTTCTGCCTGTAGTGGGGCCCCGTCCCCGTGTGCCATTTTCCTCCGTTCTGTTTTTTCTTTGTTTTGTTTTTTTCTTTTCCCCTATATGTCTCTGCTTGGGGCAGCGTGGCCACCAAGCCCCGCAGTTCCCACTCACAGGAGCGTGACTGCCTTCTGTTCTAGGGGGTGGAGGGCAGCGGCAGACAGAGCCGGGCTGCCTGGGAGGCGACGACTGGTCCTGCATGAGGCCGAGAAGCCACCTGTGGATGGTTGACCTGCTCTGGGCTTAGATAGTAGAGTCTGCAGACCTGTGGGCCTGGCCCGGAGAGGACCTCGTGAGTCTTCTGGGATGGACTCGGAAGCCTTAAACCAAGAGAGGTGTCTGTCCAGCCCTAATAGTAGGGCAGCTTAGAGGAGTGGGGAGGAGAACTCAGCCTGTGTTCAGTCAAGATGTAAGTAGTAGCAGGGGGATCATGGTGGATCCAGGTCGTTTGTGTGGGATGCTGTAGCTCCTGCTTGAAGCCGCTCTGGTCAGAGGAGCTTGTTCTGGAATGCGGCACCCAGAACCTGGTGCTTGGCAACAACTTCTGGGCTCTTAAGCCCACCTGTGCCACCCCACCCCTACCCTCCCAACCCACCCCAAACCCCCGCCCAGTCCCATCTCACCACTGCCTTAGTTGACTGCCACCCATCCTCCTTCTGTCTCCTTGCCACACCTAGTCCCTGGATGGTCGCCAGATCCGTGTGGACCACGCAGGCAAGTCTGCCCGGGGGACCAGAGGAGGGGGCGCTTTTGGGGCCCAGGGGCGTGGTCGCAGCTACCCCAGAGGTAAGTGTCGGAATCCGTTTGACTTTGGAGTTGGTCTGGGGAATCCATCCATTGGTGGCCTTTGGGTAACTGGTTAGACATTTCTTACCTGCTACAGGTGGTGGAGACCAGGGCTATGGCTCTGGTAGGTATGATGCTCGCCCTGGAGGATATGGCTATGGATACACACGGCCCCGAGACTTTGGCAGGTGGGTAATGCAAGGGCTAGTGCTTGTCACACCTGGGTGTGGAGCTGTGTGCGCTATGCATGGCTATGTAGCATAGCATTTCAGGTTTTGTGATGGCATTAATCATGGGATTGTGCCAAGACCAAGTTCTGCATTTATGTTGGCTGTATTGTACTATGACATTTAATTGTAGACATGTTGTGCTGGCATGTATTATGGTTTAATGTGGCACGTGTAACTATATAAACAGCTGTTTATGAGGTATCCATATAAAGCTAGCATGGTTTTTCCCAGAAGCCAGGGGGGTTACGACCGCTACCCAGGAGGAAACTACAGGGACAATTACGACAACTAGGACGGTGCTCTGCACGTCACAGAGGTGAGACCCGGGTGTTGACTGCAAACTTCCTGCTGTACTCCTTGCAACTTCCTGTCCAACTGCTCAGCACTGTGTTTCCCCGCATACCCCAACCCACCAACAACCCCCATCCTTTGCCCTCCCCCCCCCCCTTTGAGTTTGCACAGCAGGGCTAGTTTGCAGGTGGGGGTGGGGTGCTTTCACCTGCTTTCTTTGGGGCTTGAGGGAGGGGGTGTTGAAGGCACCTCTGGAAGGTGAGCAAGATGGCGGCCAGATCCTTCCAGGGGTGATTCTCCCCCTTCTTGCTATTCTCAGATACACAAGGACTAACACTTCTGACCCAGGACCATCCTTCTAAACAGCTGTATTTATAACAGTTTTTTGGAGCTGCACTGAAACACCTGTTTTTAACATCAGCTTTTGTTTTTTGGTTTTTGTTTTTTTTTTTTGAATTGAGCTTCCCAGGGTAGCTTGTGAAAGACCTTTTTAGAAAGCTCCATGTATGTTTATTAAAAATTGAGTGGTTTCTTTTTCCTTGCACATTTGGAGGTAAATTTTAGGATATTTGCAGGGCCTCAGTATTACTCCTTTCATTGTTCGGACTCAGGATTATTTTCTTCTGGACAAAAAAAGAAAAAGCCTATTTGGTCAGACTTTTTCTTCCATTTGTATCTAAAGTTTTTTTTTTTTTTAATGTGTACACATTGTTTACCACGGAAGCAATTTCCAAATGAACTTGGAAGAAATCTGTATCAACATGATAGACTTTTTTTACTCCAGATCATTATCCAGGTTTTAGAGAACTTCAAAATGTTGGTAATTGTCATTTTTACTTAAGTGCTGGAAGAAAGTATTCTGTTGTGTCTTGTGTGCTTAGAATAGTCTCACTAAGCTGAATAAAAGTTGGAACCTTGAAAAACGAGTGCTTTTTTTCATTGTTCACTTCAGAGCTGACTTGAACTTGGGGGCTATCCAGACCTGCAATGAGGGGATAACTGAGCGCCAGGGTAGGCTTGAGTTTCCAGAGATCTTCCCATCATGTTGAATTACTGTGCTCCCTTGAGTATTGGTGTGGGTACCCTGATAAAGGAATGATCGGGGTGGTGAGGACTTCATCTCATAGGATGAGCTATATGCAGCTCCTGGTCCATGATGAAACCTGGGGAGGACTAAGGGATTGGGGAGAGCCTGTTTAAATATTTCAAAGGCAGTCTTGCAGAGAGGACATTTTCCTGGTTCCCCCCTAACCAGTCCAAATAAGCTGGGCTGGACTGAGCCAGGATCTTTATCTGTGTCTTCATGTGCACAACACGGTCTAAGCACTGCTCCAGGTGTGGGCAAGTAACAACCCCAAGTGGAGCATCCAGGACTCCTACAGGGGATCCTGGTAATGGCAGGTGGCAGCTGAAACATTGAACTTCTACATCCCTGCCAGTAATGGGAGAAGGGAGTGTAAGGATTTTGGGTACAAAGTAGTGCACTGGGCTAAGGCTAAGCTTTAGTGCTGGCTTGTCATGAACCCCAGTTCCTGTGTCTACTTCCCATCCAATTCCATGAAAACCTGTAAGAGCAGCAGAGGAGGGCTGAAGTCCCTGGCACCCTGTACCCATATGGGAGACTGGAAAGAAGATCCCCTTACCACTGGGGAGTGAGCCATCAGAAATTTGCTCTGCAAATCTGCCTTTCAAGCATAAAGATTTATTTTTTTTGGAAAGGCGGCTATACAGAGAAGGAGAGAGATTTTCCTTCTGATGGTTCACTCCCCAAGTGGCCGCAACAGCTGGAGCTGAGCCAATCGGGAGTTCTTACGGTTCTCCCACACAACCGGTGCAGGGTCCCAAGGCTCTGGGCTGTCCTGACCTGCTTTCCCAGGCCACAGGCAGGGAGCAGGATGGGAAGTGGGGCTGCCAGGATTAGAACCCGCACCCATATGGGATCCTGGCGCATGCAAGGTGAGGACTTTAACCACTATGCTATTGTGCTGGGCCCAATTTTTTTTAAACATGTAAAATGTGAAACCTTCCTCATGGAGTTCAAGTTCTTAACAGGCATAAACACCCCATATAAGGCCCATTTCATTTCCTGGCTGCCACACTTTGAATCCAACTCACTGATTATGACCTAGTAAGGCAATCAAAGACTCCAAGTCCCATGGACCCACGTTGGGCACATGGAACTCCTGGGAATCAACTCTGCTCTGGCAATTGGAACTATCTGGGCATTGAACAATCAAATGGAAGATCCGATTTCTGTGTAACTGCTAGCTAGGCTGGAACCCCCACCAGTGTGACCTGGAATTTGTGGTGGGCTGGGCCTGGCTAGGCTGCAGCACCCACTGGCAAATGCCAAGGTGAGGCAGGCCATGCCAGATGAGGGTGCAGCCTAGCCAGGCCCAACAGTCAGCACATGTGAGGACCGGGGGAAGAGGCAAAGCTGGTAGAGGGAATGTGTAGGGTTCGTCTGCTGGACCACCACGCCTAATAGTGTGATTTGGGATGGGGGCAGACCAGGCAGGACTGTAACACCTGTGGCCCTCATGTGAACTAGATCAGGGAAAATCTGACTTCCTTCTGGTACAAGCATAAGTCAGAGTGGGTGAGGGTGGTTTAGGCTTTGCTGCAGCACTGGCTGGCAGAGGATGGCACTGGGGGCTAAATCTGTCAAGTGCAGGTTCCATGGTTTAACCATGAAGTGCATGTGTCAGAGCTGGGCTGCCTCAGTGGCTCAGAGAAGTGGACAGCATATCCAGGTGCACATGGAGGATATGGCAGTCCATCAGAACCTGCAGAGGACACCTGGTACCACAACAGAGGACTGAGGACAGAACAAATCAACTACCCCAGCTACGTTTTGGCAGTGAAAATCTGGGCAAACACAGTGTAAGGTGGACTAAGTCAGGCAGTGGATTCTGGAGAGATTTTATCATGCTTGGAATAGCGAGACTGGCAACAATTCAGAACTATTGAAATATCAAAACCACTTGAGCATGCTCCCTCAGAGCATGCCCAGGTCAGGGACACTGGGAAGGGTGGGAGGATAGGTGGAGCTTCTCCCTTTATCTCCCCCCCTTACCCCAGATACAGAAGAAGGAAAAAAGAATGTGGAAACAATGGTCTTACCCACTTTCCTGTAAATCTTAAAAAAAAAAAAAAAAAAAAAAAAGGTGATCTCTTCATTTGGTTTTAATTTCAAAGGGTTTTTACGGAGAGAGGAGAGACCAAGAGGGAGATCTTCCTTCCTCTGAGTCACTCCTCAAAAGAGTGCAGTGCCCAGAGCTGAGCTGGATTTGAGCCATCCTCCACTGCTCTCCAGTCCAGGCCATGAGCAGGGAGCTGGAGGGGAAGTGCAGCAGCCAAGACATGAACTGATACCCATCTAGGATGCTGGTACTGTGTCAGAGGTTTGTCTCACTAAGCCATGGCATCAACACCAATAGACCTTGAAATCCTTATATGTTCAGGAGGCTGGCCTGTAAGTTAAACTGTAAAGGAAAAGTAGCAAGAGTAGCTGAGGAGTTCAGGAAGGAAGTCCCAGCACCAACTTATGTACCCAGAGGTTGCCCTGGATACTGGTTTGAAATCTGTCACACCCAAAGTGCACAGTGCAGGAAGACAAAGAATTTGCTACACACTTTCCCCAAGTCCATTTTCTGGGCTCTGTAAGGGTGCCCAGGTGCATTTCTTCCAGCGTGTAAGAGACACATTCAAAGCAGAGAAGTAGCTCAAGTGCAAGAATGGGAGCAGGGCTCCCAGGTCTACCTTCTCTGGAACATTGGCAGGGAGCTGGATTGCAAACAGGATAGTCAGGATAGGAACTGGCACTGCCATAGGAGACATGGGCATCCTGAACAGCAACTTAATTCATTGCACCACAGCACCCTCCCTTGCCTTCTTAGGAGTTGTTCATTTATTGGATCAGCAGAATTAGAGATGGAGGGTGAGCGCTTCCATGCGTGGCTTCACTCCCCAAGGGGCTGTGACGGCTGGGGCTGGCTAGGCCATGTCAAAGCCAGGAGCCAGGAGCCAGGAGTTCCATTTGAGTCTCCCACATGAGTGCATGGGCCCAAGCAAACACTTGGACCATCTTCCATTGCTTTCTCTAGGTCATCAGGGGGAAGCTGGGTCAGAGGTGGAGCAGCTAGGACTTGAGCCTTTGTTCACAGGGGCTGTTCAATAGGAGGCAGCAGGCTAACTTGCTGTACTACAGGGCCAACCCTATCATGACTTTTTTGAAACCCACGAACCAGCTTTACTTTTTTTTTTTTTATCATTAACCATTGAAAGAGTTGTGAGATGACATGTCATGGTGGTTTTGATTTGCATTTCCCTGATGAGTGACGTTGAGCATCTTTCAGGGAATATGAGCCATTTGGTATGTCTTTGGAAAAACATTTGCTCATGTCCCTGGCCTGTTTTTTTACATCCGATTATTGTTATTGTTGTGCTGTTTGGTTTCTTACATTTTGAAGAATATCAGCCTTTGAACAGATAAGTCATTGCAAATGTTTCATCCCACTCTGTAAGTTGCCTTTGCCTTGTGTGGGTTGTTTCCTTTGCGGAACCGAGGTTTTGCTTGCACTCCCCCTTGCAAGCTTTTGCTGGAAGAGCCAAGAAAATATAATTTCCCATACAGCAGCTTTTTGCCTGTTTTCCCACTGGGGCCAGTTGTGGTTGCAGGCCTTAAGCCTAAGGCCAATACCTTATGACGAAGTTTTGACCATGATCCAAGGATGTGAATTTGCAGGGCAACGTCCAGTTCCCAACAGACTGTCCTTGCCCAATGTGTTTTCATGACATCACTGTCACAGTTTGGTTGGCTCTGTGAATTTATTTCTGAACTCTATTCTGCTTGTTTTTGCCTGTTTTCATTCTAATATCATATATTTTATTTTACCAATTTTTATGAATATAGATTTTCTGTATTTGAAATCCAGGGTTACACAGAGGGACAGGGAAAGAGAGAAAGAGAGGTCTTCCATCTCTCTCCCTCCCTCCATCCCTCCTTCCCCATGCTGTTTGTCATTGCATCTTTCAAATAAATAAAATTTAAATCTTAAATATTCATTGTAAATAGGAGAAGGTCATGAAGGGGGTTAGTTTGTTCAGCTGCCAACAGTGGCATGGATGGGGGTAGCTACCACATTTTCCTGATGGCCTGTTCTGTCCCCCTGCCCATGCCGTTCCACAGTTAGAGGCATTTCTGCTCTAAGGATCCCTGGAAACCATATTCTTAACATGCCCTCTGATGTTTGTTTGTCAGGTTACTATTTTCTGGATACTGGTCCTGGACCACCTTCCTTCTTCCCCTTGCTATGTACAGATCTCAGGACCCCTCTCGCTTCCTCAGGCAGCAGAAGTTTCCATTTGCCTAGCACTAGATGTCACGGCTTTCCTTCTCTAAAACCCAAAGATCTGGTATTGATGCTGTCACTTAGGTAGAGTCACTGTCTGAGAAGCCTACATGTATCCGGTTCGAGTCCCAGTTGCTCTGCTTCCTACCCATCTCTCTGCTAATATGCCTTGGAAAGCAACAGAGGATGGCCCAAGTACTTGGGCTCATGCATCCACATGGGAGACCCAGAAGAAGCTCATGGATCCTTGGCCTCTGACTGGTACAGTAAAAGCCATTGCAGCCATATGAAGAGTGACAAGTGAGTGGAAGTGTCTCCCTCTTTCAGAAAAAATAGATCTTTAAAAACAAAACAAGGGCCTGGCATAATAGCCGACTGGCTAAAATCCTCACCTTGCATGGGCCAGTGTCTCATATTGGCACCAGTTCTTATCACAGATGCTGCACTTCCCATCCAGCTCCCTGCCTGTGGCCTGGGAAAGCAGTAGAGGATGGCCCAAAGCCTTGGGACCCTGCACCCACGTGGGAGACCCGGAGAAGGTTCCTGGCTCCTGGCTTTGGATTGGCACA